CGCCATGCTCGCCTCAGGCGGCCGCGCCCGAATCCCAAGCGGCCACGAAGAAACCCCCCAAATTATGCTATCGGAGTTCCCCAAAGTAAACTTTGATTGGCTCGCGGGCTTACGGAAAACACTTTCGCCGTCCTCGCTCTGGCCGGGCCTCCCTGGAGGAGGGGAAGGGGCGCGAATCCTGACCAGTTGGAGGGGGAAGCCGAGGAGGGCGCCGGTTTGGGATTCGTCGGCGGATCCACCGGATCCAACGGATCCGTCCGGAAACGGTGCCGGAGGCCGCTCTGGGCTCCTCTGGGCATCCCCCCCGGGGCCCGTTTTGTGAGGATGTCTCAGGCGAGGGCGCCGGTTTGGGATTCGTCACCGGATCCAGCGGATCCAGCGGATCCAGCGGATCCGTCCGGAAACGGTGCCGGAGGCCGCTCTGGGCTCCTCTGGGCATCTCCCCCGGGGCCCGTTTTGTGAGGATGTCTCAGGCGAGGGCGCCGGTTTGGGATTCGTCACCAGGATCCAGCGGATCCAGCGGATCCGTCCGGAAACGGTGCCGGAGGCCGCTCTGGGCTCCTCTGGGCATCCCCCCCGGGGCCCGTTTTGTGAGGATGTCTCAGGCGAGGGCGCCGGTTTGGGATTCGTCACCAGGATCCAGCGGATCCAGCGGATCCGTCCGGAAACGGTGCCGGAGGCCGCTCTGGGCTCCTCTGGGCATCCCCCCCGGGGCCCGTTTTGTGAGGATGTCTCAGGCGAGGGCGCCGGTTTGGGATTCGTCACCGGATCCAGCGGATCCAGCGGATCCGTCCGGAAACGGTGCCGGAGGCCGCTCTGGGCTCCTCTGGGCATCCCCCCCGGGGCCCGTTTTGTGAGGATGTCTCAGGCGAGGGCGCCGGTTTGGGATTCGTCACCGGATCCAGCGGATCCAGCGGATCCAGCGGATCCGTCCGGAAACGGTGCCGAGGCCGCTCTGGGCTCCTCTGGGCATCCCCCCCGGGGCCCGTTTTGTGAGGATGTCTCAGGCGAGGGCGCCGGTTTGGGATTCGTCACCGGATCCAGCGGATCCAGCGGATCCGTCCGGAAACGGTGCCGGAGGCCGCTCTGGGCTCGTGCTCTTCGCGCCGGGGGTGAGGATGACGTGAGTTCCACAGAAACTCCCTCAAATTATGCCGTCAGGTCGTCCGTCCGGAAACGGTGCCGGAGGCCGCTCTGGGCTCCTGTGGGCACCTCCCCCGGGGCCCGTTTTGTGAGGATGTCTGAAGCGAGGGCGCCGGTTTGGGATTCGTCCGCGGATCCGCCGGATCCGCCGGATCTGTCCGGAAACGGTGCCGGAGGCCGCTGTGGGCTCCTGTGGGCACCTCCCCTGGGGCCCGTTGTGTGAGGATGTCTCAAGCGAAGGCGCCGGTTTGGGATTCGTCCGCGGATCCGCCGGATCCGCCGGATCTGTCCGGAAACGGTGCCGGAGGCCGCTGTGGGCTCCTGTGGCCCCTTTTGTGAAGATGTCTCAAGCGAGGGCGCCGGTTTGGGATTCGTCCGCGGATCCGCCGGATCTGTCCGGAAACGGTGCCGGAGGCCGCTCTGGGCTCCTCTGGGCATCCCCCCCGGGGCCCGTTTTGTGAGGATGTCTCAGGCGAGGGCGCCGGTTTGGGATTCGTCACCGGATCCAGCGGATCCAGCGGATCCGTCCGGAAAACGGTGCCGGACGGCCGCTTTTATGTTTTATTCTTTTTTTTTTCATTTTTCTGGGGCTCCTGGTGGCGCCTCCCCCGGGGCCCGTTTTGAGGGGATGTCTCAAGCGAGGGCGCCGGTTTGGGATTCGTCCGCGGATCCGCCGGATCTGTCCGGAAACGGTGCCGGAGGCCGCTCTGGGCTCCTCTGGGCACCTCCCCCGGGGCTGGTTTTGTGAGGATGTCTCAAGCGAGGGCGCCGGTTTGGGATTCGTCACCGGATCCAGCGGATCCAGCGGATCCACCAGATCTGTCCGGAAACGGTGCCGGAGGCCGCTCTGGGCTCCTCTGGGCACCTCCCCCGGGGCCGGTTTTGTGAGGATGTCTCAAGCGAGGGCGCCGGTTTGGGATTCGTCACCGGATCCACCGGATCTGTCCGGAAACGGTGCCGGAGGCCGCTCTGGGCTCCTCTGGGCACCTCCCCCGGGGCCGGTTTTGTGAGGATGTCTCTAGCGAGGGCGCCGGTTTGGGATTCGTCGGCGGATTCAGCAGGTTATGTGATGGGTCCGGTAGGAATTAGGGGGAAGGGGCCGATGCGGGGGCGCGGGGGGAGGGGGTGCCGGTGGTCGCTTGTGTTCGGGTTCTGTGTTCGTATCGTCTTTTCCTGTCTTTTTTTTCATCTCTTTTCCTGTCTTTTCTTTTTTTTTTCTTTGCTTTTTTCCTTTCTTTTTATTTGATGTCCTTTTTTTCTTTTTTCTCCTGTGGGCACCTCCGTTTTGTGGGGATGTCTCAGCGAGGGCGCGGTTTGGGATTCCGCGGATCCGCGGATCTGTCCGGAAACGGTGACCAGGCCGCTTGGGATCCTGTGGGCACTGTGCCCGTTGGTGGGGATGTTTAAAGCGAGGGCGTCGGTTTGGGATTCGTCCGCGGTTCCGTGTCCGGAAACTTGCGGAGCCGCTCTGGGCTCCTGTGGGCACCTCCCCGGGGCCCGTTTTGTGGGGATGTCTCAAGCGAGGGCGCCGGTTTGGGATTCGTCCGCGGATCCGCCGGATCTGTCCGGAAACGGTGCCGGAGGCCGCTCTGGGCTCCTGTGGGCACCTCCCCCGGGGCCCGTTTTGTGGGGATGTTTAAGCGAGGGCGCCGGTTTGGGATTCGTCCGCGGATCCGCCGGATCTGTCCGGAAACGGTGCCGAGGCCGCTTTGGGCTCCTGTGGGCACCTCCCCCGGGGCCCGTTTTGTGGGATGTCTCAAGCGAGGGCGCCGGTTTGGAATTCGTCCGCGGATCCGCCGGATCTGTCCGGAAACGGTGCCGGAGGCCGCTCTGGGCTCTTGTGGGCACTTCCCCCGGGGCCCGTTTTGTGGGGATGTCTCAAGCGAGGGCGCCGGTTTGGGATTCGTCCGCGGATCCGCCGGATCTGTCCGGAAACGGTGCCGGAGGCCGCTTTGGGCTCGTGCTCTTCGCGCCGGGGGTGAGGATGACGTGAGTTCCACAGAAACTCCCTCAAATTATATACCCCCACCTACGTCGTATTCCGGCCGATAGCAACCCAATCCGGGATTTCCCATCCGGATTGTAAAAAAAAACCATACAAAATGGTTGTTTTTCTTCTCAACATCGTCTTTCTTGTCGTCGACGATGCGAAAAGCGTGGCAGGAATGGGACGCGGCGCACATCGCGCGCGGCAGTCAATCTAGGCCCGCCCATCCTGACTGCAAAAAATCAATACAAAGTCTTCGTTTTGTCCTCTCAGCATGGCCTGCCTTGTCGCCGACGGTGCGAAATATGTGGCAGCAGTGGGACGCGGCGCACATCGCGCGCGGACGTCCATGCGGGCCGCGGGCCATCCCATCCTGACTGTTAAAAAATACAGAGTACCACTACCACTACCACTACCACTACTAGTGCTCCTACTGCAACTACTGCAACAACTACAACAACAACTACGACTACTACTACGACGACGACTACTACGACTACCACCACCACCACCACCACCACCACCACCACCACCACCTACTACCTACCTACCTACCACTACTACTACTACTACTACTACTACTACTACTACTACTACTACTACTGACTGCTACTACTACCTACTACTACTACTACTACTACTACTACTACTACTACTACTACTACTACTACTACTACTACTACTACTACTACTACTACTACTACTACTACTTACTACTAACTACTACTACTACTACTACTACTACTACTACTACTACTACTACTACGACTACTACTACTACTACTACTACTACTACTACTACTACTACTACTACTACTACTACTACTACTACTACTACTACTACTACTACTACTACTACTACTACTACTACTACTACTACTACTACTACTACTACTACTACTACTACTACTACTACTACTACTACTACTACTACTACTACTACTACTACTACCACTACGCGCCAGCACCCAGTTGCGCCAGCATTGTTTCTTATGTTGTGGGAGGGCGGAACGTGTCCGTTGTTCCTTTCAACATGGCCAGTCTTGTCGTCGACGATGCGAAATGCGTGGCGGGAATGGGACGCGGCGCACATCCCGCGCGGACGTCAATGCGGTGTCCTGGGGTTTCCTCCACTCGCACTGAAATGCCCGCGCAGCTCCCAGTTGTGCCATCACTGTTTCTTATGTTGTGGGAGGGCGGGTGGGAATGGGCATGCCATGCTTGACTCGCTCGAGCTGGCTAGCTTGATGCGAACCCTACCCCTACCCCCCACGACTTCTGAGGGGGATGGTGGGGTAGGGTTCGCATGTGGCCCCCTAATCGTTCCAGTCGAATGCTCCCAGGGCGCGTGCTTCTCTCTGTTCTGGTGGAGCGGGGCCCAGGTCCCACGCACGTCCCACGGCCAAAGCAGGACTGCCATCGGCTTGCTTGAATCGAACGAGAGCGATCGCTCCCTCCCACTGACACCGACATCCGCAGATATGCGATTTGTCACTCCGCGTCCCCCAGACAGGCCCCGACGGCCTCCTCAGTGGCCGCTTCTCGCCCTCCAGCCCGTGTCCCATGGCCCTGGCAGCCCGATGAGAGGCCCTGGAAGCCGCGATCAGAGGGGAGCTCGGGGTTCAAGAGACGGGGGTCCGCCAGAGTGCCGGATTCTGCAGGATCCAGCAGAGCAAGGGTTGCCTTGACCCGGGCCTGGGTGCAGGATCCTGCAGGATCCTCTGGATCCTGCAGGGCCCGGCGGGCCCGGCTCTGCACCGACCAGGGGCCAGCGGATCCCCAGAGGCAGGCGCCGGGACGGGGCCAGGAGACGAGCCCGGGAGCTCCTCGGAGAGCCTGGGTCCCAGCTCGTGCGCCCCCCCCCCCGCAGGTCCGCGCGTGCGAGCTGCTCCCCCCCGCCGCCGCCGCGCCGCGGGGCGCGGCCGGGGGCCAGGCCAGGGGGCCACTCTCGGACCCCTACCCCTGCCCCCCACGATTTCTGAAGGGGAGGGTGGGGTTCACTTCGCTGGGGAGCTCCTGAATTGAGCGAACCCCCCCCTCCCCCTCGGAAAGCGTGGGGGGGTAGGGGTAGGGCTCGCCGGTGGCCCCCTACAGGCGGGCGCGGGCGGCCTCGGCGCGCGGCGCCAGGAGGCCGCGCGGTGTGTGCTCGAGGCCAGCACGCAGCCGGACGTGCTGGAGGCGGTCGCGCGCCACTTCCTGGGGCGCTGGCGCGGGCAGAGACAGGCGCAGGTCACCGTGTCGCCGTCGGCGGCGCCGGTCCAGGAAAGCCGCGCGGGGTGCCGAGAGTCTCTGCTCCTCCTCCTCCTCCTCCTCCTCCTCCTCCTCCTCCTCATCCTCAGCCTCATCCTCATCCTCATCCTCATCCTCATCCTCATCCTCCTCCCTCTTCTTCTTCTTCTTCTTCTTCTTCTTCTTCTTCTTCTTTTTCTTTTTCCTCCTCCTCCTCCTCCTCCTCCTCCCCCTCCTCCTCCTGATGCCGTGGGTGCTTCCTCTACGTTTCCCAGCGCTCTTGCTTTGGGTTCTCACTCGGAGTGGAGCGCTGCGGTCGCACATCTCCCTCTGCTCCCTCTCCTCTCTCCCCCCTCCTCCTGCCGCCTCCTGCGCCCCCTCTGCCTGCGTCCGACCTCTGCCTTCTGCCTTCTAACTACATGTCTTCTGTCCTACCTCTGACTTGTCTGCTACCCTGTCTCCTCGCCATCTCTGGGGGGCTGCGATCTGCGAAACTGTCGTCACTTTCGAGGGCTGCAGGGGGGTCCAGCGGAGCGACGTCATATGCGGACCTGAACTAGACCTCGCCATCATTGGGGGTCTTCGGCTTGCGGAACTGACACCGCTTTCAAGGGCTGTAGAGGGTCCAGCGGAGCGACGTCATATGCGGACCTAAATTAGACCTCGCCATACCTGGAGGGCTGCGATCTGCGAAACTGCCACCACTTTCGAGGGCTGTTGGGGGTCCAACGGAGTGACGTCATACGCGGACCTGAACTAGACCTCGCCATCCCTGGGGGGCTGCGATCTGCGAGACTGTCGCCACTGTCGAGGGCTGCGGGGGTCCAGCGGAGTGACGCCATACGCAGATTTAGACTAGACCTCGCCATCCCTGGGGGGCCGCGAGCTGCGAAGCTGCTGCCATTTTCGATCGCTGCTGGGGGGTCCAGCGGAGTGACGTCATATGCGGGCCTAAAATAGACCTCGCCATCCCTGGAGGGCTGCGACCGGCGTCGCTGTCGCATTTTTCGGGGGCTGCTGGGGGTCCAGCGGAGCGACGTCTTTTGCGGACCTGAACTAGACCTCGCCATCCCTGGGGGGCTGCGACCGGCGAACTTGTCGCCATTTTCAAAGGCTGCGGGGAGGTACAGCGGAGCGACGTTATATGCGGACCTAAATTAGACCTCGCCGTCGCTGGTGGATTGCGATCTGCAAAACTGCCAACAGTTTCAATGGCTGTTTGGGGGGAGGAGTGACGCCATACCCCTGGCGACGCGAGAAACCGAAATTTAAAACGAAGAGCCTTCCCCCAAGCAGGTTACTTAACAAAGCGAGCAACGACCGCGGCGGCCCGAAAGTTTGTGAAGAAAGCGAAAACGAAGACGAAGCGAACCCGTGATAAACAAGTTAGTTACACAAGCGAAGGGATGACGTCCCCACCGTGTCCGGAAACGCGTGGTCTCAACACATTATGGTTAAGTTGTCGCGCCCTCCGCGTAGATACTCTGTACTCCGCTTCAGATGTCCCCCCACCTGCTGGTCCGCCGCTGGGCTGCTGCGTGAGGGCTCGGTTTGCCGCTGTAGGTGTAGCCCCCCTCCGTCGCCTTAGGCTAATTCGTCGCTGCGTGCCCCGCTTTGACTGGACTCGCCGCCGGCGCGCTCGCCCGCGGTCGCTGACAAAAACAAAAAATACTCTGTAGCCATGGCGAAGAACGCAGAGGGCCAACTCCTGGAGGTTTTCGGCGAGTCTGCATTGCAAGCAGGCAGAAACAGCTCGAGTTCAAACCGCTTTTGCCCGAGGACGCCTTCAAGAAAATCGCGGCCGAGGAATACATGGCCAGCAGAGCCGACGCAGAGTTGGCCAAGAAAGACCAGGAAAACGCCCGCGCAGACTTGGCAGAGTCTCTGGGGCTCCCCTGGCCACCGCCTTCTATTTTTTGACCTCCGCGTAAAAGCGGCCCCTCCGTAGCCTTGGTTCAAGGGGCAATCTCCCGCCGCTCAAGGGGGCGCCCGGGCGCCGTTTGACCCTCCAGCCCAGGGCCGCTGTCCCGCCAATAGGCGGCGCAGGCGATGGCTGATCCGCATCAGGGACTACGAGGAGATGGTGATCCAACAGTACACAGCATGGGAGACTGTGTACTGTAACCACTGGAGACATCTCCCCCACAGGGTGAGCAGCCCCCGCCGATACGCGAGGCCGAGCCAGCACCGAGCACGGATCCGAGACCACCCCCGAGGCGCGAGGGGAAAGAAGACCCACAATTGCTGGTGGAGGGACACGTCCCTGAGAGGAAGAGGAATCCTGAACGCATCCCATTCCCCCCTACACCTCCCGCCTCCCCCCGCAGCGGAGCGGACGCCCCGCAATGGGCGCGAGCGGCGGACACACCTCGGTCTACAACGGTTGGAAATAGAGATGAGGAGCATGTTCGGGAGTCAGCTCTGGAAGCTCGCCCAGGTGACGATGACAGAGCCTCCCCCCGACAATGTTAGACGCTGACCCTCCGCAGGATGGCGCGGATCGAGGCGTCAATGCTCCTCCCCTCCCCTCCTATGATTTACCAGTGACCGTGGCTATCGGCCGCGCCTCCTCATCTTCTCATCCTCCTGATTTGCAGGATTCACGTGCCGCGTCACCTGGAGCGTGGCAGGACGGCCAGGGACTGGCTGGCGGAGCGTCCAGCGCTGGGGGAGCGCCGTCAGGGACGGAGACGGCTCCCCCACAGCCCCATGCCAGGGAGTGCGCGAGTAGAGGTCCAGCGCTCCCCGACGGTGACCCCCCATCTCCGTGCATTTTACCAGATCCAGCGGCTATCGGCTGCGCCTCCTCTTCTCCCCCTCCAACTTCACCAGTGACCGTGGCTATCGGCCGCACTTCCCCCCTCTCTCATCCTCCCGTTGTGGGCGACTTATCAGATCCAGCGCCTATCGGCTGCACCTCCCCTCCCCCCCCCCCCCCCCACGAGACGCAAGATGGCTCGGCCGCGGCTCAGAGACCCCCCCCCCAGTGACGCCGAGGCGCACATGTCCGAACCCCCCGAGGTGGCAGCTGCGGGCAATGCCACCTATATTGGAGCTACGCAGAGGGGAGGGACACAAGCCTCGCCCACCGCATTCCCAGCTTGGCCCCCCAGAGCCGAAGCAGCCGTAGACCTTGAGATAACCCCCACCGCGCCCTTAACCCGAGGGGGGACGGCGCGGACGGGGAGGGGCAGCACGAAACGGAGCACGGCCATGGTGATAGGGCAGGGACAGACTCGGGAAGAGGGTCGAACCCAGGCGAGGACGAGCAAGACGATAGACCCCCGGCACGAGGAGGCATACGACTGGGGCGCCGTCGATGAAAGCACCTCGGACTCGGACGCTCGGGGCCAGCGCAGCCCAACCTCCCCCCGCCAGGCACCTGGTCATCCCGAGTGGGAAGGGCAGGGGCACACAGCCCAGCAAGAGGAGAGGACAATCGCGGACAAGGGGGGCAAGGCCCCCAGTCCGGACCTCCCCCGCCTCCAAGAGAGGAAGTGTCTCGCAATATCGACTCACCCTGCCAGGTCCCCGCAGCGATGGACCTTAGGAATACCATGAGGGGAGGCCCCCTCTCAGCCCTTCTCGAGCGGCACGAGCCTAGGGATGGGCCATGGAGGGCACGCAGAGTCTCCCCTCGCAGTCGAGTAATGAGTGAAGGACTGGTTGAGCTGATAAGCCGATGCTGGCTCCGACACCCCCCCGGATATGTAGGTTCCCCAGCGGCAGGTGGGCCCGACAGGAACCGACCGGAACGGGGAGGCACAGGGAGCATCCGCAGCGTCGCGTCAGCGATGGCTCACCTGGACCTTTCCTGGCTGGTGTGGTCTATCACGGGCTCCGATCATGAGGCCAGGCTTGGTGGAGTTGGGCCAGGCCCTGTCCAGGTGCTCGCCTCCCGCTATGCCAGTCTTGCGCAGGGCCCGGACATCGGGGATGACATCCAAGATGTTCATGGGCCTACACAGGAGGGAAACCTAGCGGCGGAAACGGAATACGACACGCTATGCCACGCTGCCATCTACGTGGACATAGGGACGCACGAGCCGACGGACGAGATTTTTCTTCCAACCCTCCTAGGTATGTCCAGGTGGCGGCACGATCCTGCGCCCGATGCGGCGGACAATGGACCGACTGACACGAACTTGGAGCGAAAGGCCAGGATCTGCAAGCATCTTGTCCACGAGCGCCGCCGCAATACGGTGCACTTTCCGGGCCACTGCGAAGTCCGACGTTGGGCCATCAGCAGAGGGCACTGGGTCGAGGCTGGCACAGATGTCCTCTCAGCACCGCAACGCGGCTTAGGCCGCGACGGGTGGGCCACTCCAGCTATTCACAGCGCTGAACCACAGCCCCTTGGCATAGGGGGGGCCAGGGACTTTGAAGGCGACGACCCGACAGGACCTTGGCCCGTAAACAACACCTCCCAAATGATCATGATTGGGGACTTCTTTCATCCCAAAGGCAGACGTGGAGAATGTGGATGTTGGTGCATGAGGCAGGACATGAATAGCTGCATCGTGTGTCGCAGGCTAGGATCAGCATGGGTCACCGACACGAACAGCTCTCCCACCACCGAACTGGAAGCTCCCAAACACCCCCTGGACCTGCTGGGCACGAGACTCACGTTCCAGCTGGCCAGGGTGGGAGCTCGGTGCGCTCCCATCGCCAGCCACATCGACTGCGAGCGTCACCCCTCAGAGACCACCAATTTCTCTCCGTCTTGGCTGATAGCAGAGCTCCTCGCAGCATGGTGTCATATGACGGAGGTCGACATGGAGAATCACGGGGGTTGGGGCTTGCCGGAAGGACGAATGCCCGGTGCGCCAGGACCATGGGGCGAGCCGGCACTCTGGGCAACGGCTGGCTCTTTGGCCAGGCTCTGCTGTGCATCGATGGAATGGGCTATAGAGGCGACGACGCACATTCAGCACACCATGCGACAGCACCCCCTCGGCGACCGGCTACGTGAATGGGTCCCGAGATGCCTCTTGAGCGCCCCCGCCGCCAGCGCACCGGCACGACCCCCTGCAGCAAGAGGCCCGGCTCAGGGTACACGGGGCCCAAGGACCAGGTACCAACATTGCTTCGAAAGTATCCGGGACGGAGACGTGGAATGGCTCCGAAGAGAAATCGGAGGTACGCTCATCGATCAGGCCCTCGCCGTCACTCCGGCAGATAGGGCATGGGCGACAGACGCAAGTCCTGAGGCGATTGAAGCTACAGAAGTGGCGCGCCGAGCCGCGGTGGCGGCCGCCACGGACAGCGGGAGATTAATAGCCTACAGCCTGGTTCCTGGGACCCCGCGCGGGGGGGCTCTGCGATTGGCAATGGCACTTCGGACGAGGGCGAGAGGAATCGGGGCCCCAGTAGTCCGAGAGGATTGCCAACAGGGCAACGTAAGAAGGGGAAGCGACGCACGCGCCACGAGCATCCCAACGCCAAGCCCGACCGCGTTCCCACCCCGCAGAAGCGAAGGGAACGCCAGGCGAGTGCTGCAAGAAATCCAGGACATCCGCACTCAGGTTGCGAACGACAACATTCCACCCAACATGGCTTGGAGTCGACTGGTGGTACCCTTCATCTGGGGTGCAGCGACAGAAGAAGCTCGGACTAGCGGCAGCCAGCCTGACGACAGAAATCGGAAGAGCAGTCGCATCCCCCCTGCTAGGGGGGTATATTGACCCTCCGCTGAAGGAAAGCATGATGAGATGGCTTGATCCCCATGGACAACTCCAGGAAGCGGTGCTAACAGCAGACAGACAAGCGGTTGAAAGCGGCGCGCGTCTGCGGAACGCTCGAATCCAGGACAGAAGCAACGGGAACGGGGGCGGCGTAGCAGGTCGGCAGCAGCCCACCTCCCCCGCACGAGGAAGGGCGCAAAGCACCACCACCCCGTGGCATGAGAACACCAGACAACCGCCTGGGGGACAGACCACGAGGCCGAGGCTCTGGCGGCATGGCAGAAGTTCTACGACGCGCAGCAGCAGGAGGGCGCCTGCCCGCTCCCCGCCCCCGGCTTCGACTGCGAGCAGGGCCACGAGTGCACCTTCAAAGATGCCAAGCTCCAGACTTTCAAGGTCCTGAATCATGGGGGCCTGACTGAGACCGTCCTCTCCAACGGTGGGGCGGCCTACTTTTTCGGGGAGAACTCACCAAGCGTGCCCCCCTACTATCTCGCCAAACTCCAGTGCAATGGGGAGGTCCTTCTCAAAGCCCCCGCGGCTGAGAGTGGCGACAAGGTGGACAAAGAAAGTTGCTCTACTTATAAGGCGATGCAGAGCGTGACTGTCGGTAACAACACCTGGAAGTCGTCGGTCGAGCGGTTGATCAGGAGTAACTATCTTTGCATCGACGTGAATGTGTCTTCTGCGAGCGCCGCGGGTTGGGAGGGGGTATGCTTGCTTAGCAAGTCCCCGTTAAGCTCCGACCCGCCGTCGATTAACGCGGTCGCGAAAACTTTGCACGTCACAGGGACAGAGCTGTTCCAAATCGTGCAGGGCAACTTCACGGCCTTGCGGGGAAAGTTGAACACGTCTTCTTGCCCAGGGGGGGCTCCCATATTCGCGCTGGCCCAACTTGACGGCGCCTTGGCAAGGAAGGGTGGCGGCGGCGGCGGTGGCAGCAGCAAGTCGAGTGGCACAGGCTTAATGGTAATCGGCGCGGTTCTCATGGTCAGTGCCTTTGTTGTTACTGGTGCATCTGGAGGCGCCTTTGCACCGGTTGCAACCATTATGTTTGGCTGGGGTGCCGGGTTCGTGATCGGAGGAGCGACCACGGTGTGGGGAGGCGGCCAGCAATCAGCTGGAGGGGGAGTTGCGGTACAGGCTGCAGTGAACGCTGCCGGTGGAAAAGCGAGTGGACCTGCTGGGGCCGCAGTCACTGGCTTCGCTATTGGCGTGGGGGCGGTGGCTGGTATGCTGGAGGGGATTCCCCTGCATGACCATCGGGGCCAGGACGGGGACAAGTTCTTGAAGTCGAGGCAAGACCACCTCTGCGCAGACTATCAGGACGGCATCATGAATGCGTACATGAGGCCGTGCGCTGGCAATGCGACCGCAGAGTGGTTCTTTGCCGAAAAGGCTTGGCTCGACTACAACAACGACCCGCTGCGCGAGCTCACCGGCCGCGACACCACCCCGCTCAAGCATATGCAGAAGTATCAGCAGACGCTCCCGTGGGCGAAGGAGCAATGCGCGAGCAGTGCCCAATGTCAGGCCTTCTGCTGGAACCCGGATGACTTGACGATTTTCCATCAACAGACCGAGCAGGGCTTCACGCCAACTGGGAGAATTGGCCAGGGTATGTCGTGTTTCAAAAAAGTGTTCTTCGAAGGCAAGGCGCTGGTGAGCATGCGGGGCACCAAATGTTTGGAGCACAACACGGGCAACAACAATGTGTACATGCATCACTGTCACGGCGGAGCCAATCAACAGTGGTACCTCGACGGGGAGCAGATGAAGACGAAGTGGGACGACAAGTGCCTTGACTACAGCTTCGACGATCCGTCCAAGAACCTCTACATGAAGCCGTGCCATGGCGGCCTGAACCAGAAGTGGTACTTCGCGTGAGACCTTGCTTACTCGGTCACCCGCATCCTTTTGCGCGCTGCCAGCTTGCCCAGCCAGGCCGGTGCTTCGGGCCAAGGCTCGAGTTTGTGATACACCTGACACGCTCAGAGAGCAGGCCCCGCCTGCCGAAACGCAGCACCCGAGTCGCAGAACAAAAAAAACATAGTAAGCGGCGCCCACTTGTTGGCAGGCGGATCCCTCGAGCTCTCCGCCGCCTCTGGCGGTGCGCGCCGCGAGCTGGAACGCAGCAGAGCCAGCCCCGCGCGCGGGACGCACGCCGACGAGCAGGAGCACCGCAGAGCCCCAGGAGGGCGAGGCACGGACGGCGCAGCTACCACGCGGACGCGGCCGAGCCGCCGAGCAGCTCGGGCTCCCCGGGCCCCGGCCGCCCCGAGGCGCGGCCTGGCTCCCCCCCGTGCTCGGGGCGGGGGGCCCCGCGCCCGAAGGCGCGCCCCGGGCGTGCCCCTCCCGGCGTCGGACGAGGGCCCCCCGCCGCCGACTGCCGCGCGCGCGTGTTCGTGACGTGTGTTGCCGTGCAGTGTGACGGCAGGCCTCTGTCCCTCTTACAGGAGGAGGGCTCCCAAGGTACGGTAGGTTTGCGTCGTGTCGACCAGCGGCGACCCCAGCGCGGGCGTTCAAGGTTGAACGCCGCCGGCGGCCCAGAATCGGTCGATGTTGAACGATCGGACGTTGCGGCAGCGGCCGATCGTTCAAGGTTGAACGATCCAGCGCGGTGTCAAAAACCAACGCCGGGGTCGGCACGACACGAACCTGCCGTACCAAAAACACGGTCCGGGGACGATGCTTGAACCATGTCTGAGCGCTCTTGGGGCGTCCTGTGGTTCTCCTTGCTTTTTCGCCCCGGATCCGCCTGTATGGGGGACATGCCCGACCGAAATGCAGTCGGACCGAGGTATGCAATCGAGGTCGGTTCGGGGAGGGTACCCGAATGTTCAGGAGCGAACGAAGGAAGTACACGTACCTGAATCCGCGCTGGAATCGAGAGTGCGCGATCACTCGTATCACGCGGCCAGTCTCGCGGATCGGGGGGCCGTGTTCATGTGCATGATTGGGCGCGTACGTCTCTTGTGGGCTCCCTAAATGTTATTCGTGCTTGTTGGATATTCTTGGGCATCTTTGGGGGATACCTCCGAGTGTTCTTCAGTTGGGCTCGCGGAGGGTCTCGTGATCTTGAAGGATGTCCAGGATGCTCTTTTGTCTTAGGTCCAGCCGTACTTGCTCTGTTCGCACGCCGCTGCCGTTTTCATTCCAGTTCTGACGAGACCCAGCAGAGGCGAAACGTTGACGCGCGTACTGGAGAAGGCACGGGCCTGAGAGTGCCGCACGAGTCCGGTGTAACGCCCCCTTCCTCGCCCGGGGGCCCGGCGCGCGAGCGACGGCGGCGACGAACGCGCGAGCGACGGCGACGGCGACGGCGACGCCCGCCGTCCTGGGCTCAGGGCCCACGCGTGCGTGCGTTTGCCTGCGCGGCCCAGGCCCCCCCCCCCCCCCGCGCGCGCCGCGCGCCATGGGCGGCCCAGGCCGCGCCGCGGCCCTGCGGCGGCCCTGTGGCGGCCCTGCGGCAGCCCTCGGCGGCCCTCGGCGGCTGGTCCTCGCCGTCGTCCTCGGCGGCGTCGTCGTCGTTGTCATAGCCGTCGTCGTGCATGCTATCGTCGTGGGTGACGGAGGAGGCGGAGATGGTGGGAGGAAGGGGGGAGGGGGGGGAGGACAAGCTAGGTGCGCTCGCGTCATATCTGACGTCCTACCCCTCCCTCCCATCCCTTACCATGGCGCTGATTTTCTCTATCCGCGGACGCGTGTCGTAGCGGACCTGTGGCTCCGCGCGCGCGTGCGTAGTGGGTGGTGGTGCACGTGCGTGCGTGCGTGCGTGTGTGCGTGGTTGTCGTGGTGGTGGTGGTGGTGGTGGTGGTGGTGGTGGTGGTGGTGGTGGTGGTGGTGGTGGTGGTGGTGGTGGTGGTGGTGGTGGTGGTGGTGGTGGTGGTGGGTGGTGGTGGTGGTGGTGCTGGTGGTGGTGGTGTTGGTACTGGTGCTGGTGCTGGTGGTGGTTGTGGTGGTGGTGGTGGTGGTGGTGGTGGTGGTGGTGGTGGTGGCGGTGCGGCGCGGTGGTGGCGGGCGGATGGGCGCGCGAAAAAAAGGCCCGCGCTGGGGCGAGAACGCCATCCTGAACGACGGAGGCCAAACACCGATCCGAAAATGAGGCCCACGCTGCAGCGGGAGCACGATTCGGAACGATTCGGGAGCAGAAATGAGGCCGGCGCCTCAACGAGAGCAGCATTTTGGGAAAAAATGACGCCAGCGCCTCAGCGAGAGTCGTTTCCCGGGATTTCCCGGGAATCCTGTGTGTAAAAAAACAGTACGCGGAGGGTGCGCGGCCATAACCCGGACGCCATCAGGGGAAGAGGGAGAGTATTTTCATATTGAGTAATTGTGGAGGAGGAGGAGGAGGAGGACCCGTGTAAACCCAAGACGCATCTCAACGATGTTGCAGTACATCCCTCCCTCCAAGTTCCCTCTTCGCATTGTCCATCTAGGGATGTGTTTCCATTGCGGGAGGTGCCCCCGTCGGAATCGTGCCAACACGCATTTCCAGGGACTTCGATGCCGCGAATCAGCGTTTCTGTTGCGTCCTGACGATCCTGAATCGCGCCAGAACGCCATCCTGGGGAGTTCAGCACCGCGGATCAACGTGACTGTTGCGCCCTGTCACTCCTAAATCGTTGAGGAGCGCCACTCCTTCGACGCCACGCACAATGATGCTTGAAACCGCTGTGAACTTTGGCGACGAATGTGCGCGGCGCTATGGCGAGGACCGCGTTTTGAAAAGGAGCCGTCCTCCACCCGTGAAGCTGCTGTGAGTGCTTATGGAAATGTGCGTGGCGCGAAGGCGAGATTCACATTTTGGAAAGGCACCGCTCTCCATCCGTGAGATCTTGCAGGTTTGTAGGACGAATGTGCGTGGCGCGAATGCGATAGTCAAACTTACGAAAACAGCCCGCCCTCCATCCGTGAAGCTGCTGCGAACTTTTGAGACGAACGCGCGCGGCGCCACGGCGAGAGCCGCATTTCAAAAAGGAGCCGCCTTCCGCGGCGAGAGAAATGTCTGCAACTTTGTGCGACGAATGTGTGCGGCGCTAAGGCGAGAGCCACATAAAAAAACTGTCCCCCTCCATCCGCGGAACTGCTGCAAATCTGAAGCTTCAGAATCCGAAACGACGAGGAGTTCTCAGGCGAAACGCCCGGCCCGCCTTTTGGACACGTCTGGGGGTGCGACGAGGAGGAGTTATTTCCCGAATGTGGCTTGCTCAAGGGGTTCTTACGTGGTTTAGAAGAGTGGCGACTTTGGCCGCCCCCCTGAGAATCCTCGGGTTCCTTGGGTTCCTCGGGTTTCTTGTGCTTCTCGGCGGGCTCCTCGGGTTCCCTGGGCTCCTCGGGTTCCCTGGGCTCCTCGGGTTCACTGCCCCTGGTCGCGGGTTCCTCGGGCTTGCCCCAAGCAATGCCTTTTCGATGCCAGGCGATGCCATCCCATGCAGAGCAACTCAGGAGGGGAAATAACACACAGACACAATTAATCCTGGATTCCCCAGAAAATATGGGAAAATATGGGAAGTGGGCGGGAAGACAGAAACCCAGAAAATATGGGAAACTGTGGGAATCTTGTTATCTGTGTGTATTTATTTGTGTGTCCCAGGGCCCCTTCAGCCAAGCAATGCCGAGTGCAGTGCCAAGGAATGCCAAGCACTGCGCCCAGCGATGCGCTCACACAACAGGCTTTCCCCCCGATGGGGGTCGCGCCGGGCTCATTTGAAGGAAATGGGGTGGAGGAGGAGAAGCAGAGGGAGGAGGGGAGTAGGAGGAGGAGGAGGAGGAGGACGAGGACGAGGACGAGGAAGAGGAGGACGAGCATGTGCTTTACCATCAGGGGCCACTCGCCTCTCAAGGAACACTGGCGGCATCGAGGGGAAACCGCCACGCCCTGGGACCAGGGACACGCCGCAGAGATGAAGACAGGCCAGAAGGCCCCGCGATGGTGAAATGGAACACCCTGACTCCAGAGTTTTCCCACTCTGGTGATCCTCAGGCTACCGTTTGACGTCGGAAGGGTGGAGGATGCCTCCGTCTCGAGAGGGGCCCCGACGTAGGATGTAGAGCGCCAGCTCGCAGGTCCCAGCCAGATAGCTCGCACGCGTCATGGCAGACGGATCCGCATAGAAGGTGATCCATCCAGATTTTGCTTATCACTTTGGGCCGAGAAGCCAAAAACATGTGGGGAATGGAAAACTTCTACTCAACATTGTGCTAGGCCCGGTTGAACTCGGGGCAGTCCTCCCACAGGTGCCGGAAGAAAGGACATTGGTGGTTGCAGAATTTGCAGGGCGGAGTGCATTGCCGTCGCGTGGATGTCGCTACTGCGCCACCCGGTATATGGTGAGGAGCTTTTTGTCGTGGTCGTCCAAATTGTTGCACCACTTCGTAAACACACGATGTGATGGTGCATCGACGTCGACGTTGTCGATCTCTTCGCTGTCGACTCGGGTCTGCCGCACCAGTTGGAGGCACCGAGCGCACGAGATAGCGCGCAGCGCGTTGGCAGCCTTCTTGTGGGTGGTCCAGAAACGCTGGGTGCCGCGACGGACCTGTCGGGTCACCCGCTGGACACGGTGGTCGTCGTTCGGGGACACCTCGAGCTGGACGCTGGATGCGTCGCTATTGGTGATGAAGGTCAAGCCCAGGGTCTTGGCGTTGGCCTCCATCACGTTCTGCACGAAGTCGCTCCAAACCAACTTTGAGCGAGTCACGGCGTTGAGGCTCTGTAGAGCTTGGGAGTGCTGCGGGTGCAGATTGGTGTGGAGGGCCCAGGAGCGGCCGAAGCACCACCAGCTTGGCATCACTCGGACGTGTGCATCTTTCCCCCGGCGAGGACCATCGAGGAGCATCCTTGATCATTCGGCGAAAAAACCACGCACGGAACCGAAAAAATC